CAACCAAAAGCTAGAAATAATTAAGCTTAGTGAGAAAGGTGTGTCAAAAGCTGAGATAGCCTGAAAGCTAAGCCTCTTGGGCCGAACAGCCAAGCTGTGAGTGCAAAGGAAAAGTTCTTGATGGAAATTAAAAGTGCCACTCCAGTGAACACATGAATGATAAGAAAGTAAAATAGCCTTATTACTGATATGGAGTAAGTGTGCGTGCTCTGGGTAAAAGAACAGAGCAGCCACAACATTCCCTTAAGCCAAAGCCTAATCCAGAGCAGGGCCCTATGTTCAATTCTGTGAAGGCTAAGAAAGGTGAGGAAGCTGTGTAAGAAAAGTTTGAAGTTAGCAGAGGTTGGTTCTTGAAGCTTAAGGAAAGAGGCTGTCACCATAACATAATAGTGCAAGGTGAAGCAGCAAGTTATCCAGAAGATTTGGCTAGGATCATCGATGCAGAGGTGGCTACACGCAACAGCAGAGTTTCAGCATAGTCAAAACAGCCTTCTATTGGAAGACGATGACACCTTCATAGCTAGAGAGAAGTCAGTGCCTGACTTCAAAGAACAGGCTAACTCTCTTGTTAGGGGCTAATGAAGCTGATGAATTTAAGCTGAAGAAAATGTTTATTTACCGTTTTGAAAATCCTAGGGCTTTCAAGAAATATGCTAAATCTATTCTGCCTGTTTTCTATAAATGGAACAAAGCCTGGATGACAGCACATCTGTTTATAGCATAGTTTACTATTTCAACCCCACAGTTGAGACCTACTGCTCGCAAGAAACATTTTTTTTCAAAATATTACTGCTCATTGACCATGCACCCAGTCCTCCCAAGAACTCTGATAGAAATGGACAAGGAACTTAATGCTGTCTTCATGCCTTTGAACACAACATCCATTCTGCAGCCCATGGATCCAAGTAATAATTTTGACTTTCAAGTCTTACTATTTAAGATATACATTTCATAGGTTATCACTGCCACAGATGGTTATTCCTCTGATAGATAAAGTAAATTGAAAAACCTCCTCTGAGCAAAGTAAATTGAAAACCTTCTGGAAACGATTCACCATTATAAATACTATAATGAACATTCATGATTCATGGAAGAAGGTCAGAATATCAACATTAATAGGAATTGGGAAGAAGTTGATTTTAACCCTCATGGATGACTCTGAGGAGTTCAAGACTTCAGTGGAGGAAGTAACTACAGAAGTGGTGGAAATACTAATAGAACTAGAATCAGTTCTAGAATTAGTACCCTGGAGATGTGACCAAATTCCTACAATTTCAATTTCATGATAAAATTTGAATGGATGAGGAGTTGCTTCTTATGGTTGAGCAAAAGAAAATGATTTCTTGAGGTGGGATCTAGTCCTGGGGAAGATGCTGTGAACATTGTTGACAACAAATGATTTAGAATGTTACATAACCTTAGTTGATGAAGCAGTGGTGGGGTCTGCGAGGATTGACTCCAATTTGGAAAGAAGCTCTACTGTGGGTAAAATTCTATCACACAGCATCACATGCACAGAAAAAAATTTTTGTGAAAGGAAGATTCAACCAATGAGGCCAACTTCATTGTTGTCTTATTTTGAGAAATTGCCACAGCCACCTCAACCTTCAGCCACCACCACTCTGATCACTCCACAGCCATCAACATTGAGGCAAGACCCTCCACCAGCAAAAAGATTGTGCCGAAAGCTCAGATGATTATAGCTTTTAGCAATAAGGTATTTTTAAATTTAGGTTATGTGCATTGTTTATTCAGACATAATGCCATTACACACTTAATAGAATATAGTATAGTATACAAATACTATAAAATTATTTCACAGAACAATTCATGTGACTTGCTTTATTGTGATACATTATTGTGATGCTTAGAACTGAACTCGAACTATCTCTAGGTATGCCTGTATACCTATATACATACACACATTTACACATAGACACTGTGGCATGAATGTAACATAATAGCTATTCACATATATGTGCATATCCAAAGGACCATGCTAATTTCATTATTATACATCCATGAATTTAGGAAATGAAAAATAATAATAATCTAATACATGAATATTTAAAAATTTTATGGAATAACCTGGATTTTAACTAATGAGCTTTAAATGTCCACATAATTTGTTATTAACAATTAGATGCTAGTAATGCAAAAGTGCCCAAAACATCTTTGCAGGTGTTTTGCCATCAATCCAAATTTAGGAGGAGCTCTGTCTCTAGGGTCAACATCCAAGTCATCTTTAAGACCTCCTACTGCTTAACCTCTTTAATGATGCTTCTGAAAACTTTATTCCTTGCCCATTGCCTTTTCATATACACATTTCTTCAAGACTGGAGTATGAAAAATTTCTCAACTTCCTGCCATAGGTCTCTTTTCCCTCTACTTTGTTCTATCACCTGTCAGTTAAACCAGTTTTCTCTTCAATCCCTTTGGCATGTTATACTCATGCTTTGATTCATTTCACCCTAACCAGAACATCTCTCCTCTCTTTCCACCTGCAAATCTTCAATGTCAGGGTCACTCTTCACCCCTGGAATTAGTTCTCCATTAGCTCCTATAGCACTCCCTGTTGGTCAGTACTACTCAGATAAGCACTTAATTAGAAAAGATACGAATAAAGTAGAGACCAAGTTTTGCTTTGTTTTATTATTTTTGTCTCCCACAGTGTGAGAGTTCTGATCACATGGTAGATTTTAGACATGTAATTGATGTCTAAATTAATTTGCAACAGGGGAAATAAATTATATAAAGTGGATTTTCACTGAAGAGCACCACAACTTTTACACTTTTGCTTTAGTTATAAGGTTATGTTCATTAAATGAGGAATACAAATGAATGACATAGTGTAAGCATTTCAATTGTCAGTTCCAATAGGCATACCATTCTGCTATATTAGCTGGTTTGCATGAATACAAATTCAGCTTTTTTTCATCCATATTTACAAACCCAGTAAACAGTGCCATTCTTCAATCAGTTGTTGAAGTGAAAAAGCTGGAAATGATCCTTGAGTCTCCTCTTACTCTCATTTGTAACAGTCATTAAGTTTTACCAGTTATACCCCTTAAATATCACTCGAATCCCCCCTCATTCTGCATCCCAGTGCCACCACCTAAAGTCCAGGCTATCATTCACTATTATACAGATTTCTGCATCTATTTATTTACTAGTTGGTTGCAGCTTCCAACCCCCAGCCCAAGTGATCTTACTCAACCGGTCCGTTTCCCACATTCATGGTTTCCTTTTATCCTATAGGGTAAAGTTTATATTCTTTAATATTGTTTATAAAACCATATGTAATCTGGCACCTGACTCCCTCTTCCCTCCCTGCACTTTGTACTTCAGCGGTCCAGGGACTGGGCTATGGCATAATACTTCCATGTGACTCTAAATCTTCATGAAAATCGCTTCCCCACCTGGAACGCTCCTCCTTCCCTTCTTTGCCTGGCTAGCTTTCACTTAATTCTCATTTCGGCTTAAACGTGACTTTTTGCTGGAGGCAGTCTTTGACCTCTTGACTAGGTTTGGGGCACCCACAGTGTAGTCCATAGCAGTATGTACTTCCCTGTCTTAACTGTCAATATCTTTTATAGTAATCGTTTAATTATCTTTTTATCCCACTAACCTATAAGCTCTGGGAAGACCAGATCCACGAAGGTAGATCCAGGTGTTTTAAAGCCTAAAACATACAATTTGGGGGACCTTCTTTAGAATAAAAATACAAAAATTTTATACACATATACTTAGATACGAAAGTGCATATTCATTTATAATAAGAAATCACAACAAAGTATAAACTTGAAAAAACTGACAAATATGAAAATATATGGCAAATATAAAAATATATAGTGAACACACTACCAGGGTCCCTTCCCAGAAGCCCAAAGGTTAAGCTTCCTTAAATTTCCAGTAAATCTACATCTGCATCCTAGTCTTTTTCAAAGCTCTATTTATAGTACCAAGCGCAGTGCTTAACACCCAGCAGGTATTCAATAAATATTTTCAAATAAGTATATTTTTGAGTTATTTTAAGTTATATTTTCATGCGTGCAAAATTCAACAAGTCTTTCCTAAATTGGATTTCTAAAAAAAAATTTATATATTACTAAATTTTTCTTATGATTATTTTCAATTATTTGGTGTGGTCATATTTCAGATGACAAATAATGTACATTACTAATTATATTTGTTAGCATATCATTGAGCTTTATGCAAAATGTCTGCTGTATCTCCTTATTAATCAAAATAAAACTCTTGATTTGCATCAAAAATATGCAGAATAATCTGTATGTGTATATATATTAATATGTTTGTGCATGTCTGTGTTTTTATAGATCATATATAATAATAAAACTTCAAGATTAATTTTATGATTTTTTTTAAGAGAAAATCCTTTGGGGTGGGAAGCCATCTATTTTCTGTTTTATTTATAATATACATTTGTAAACATTTATCTCAGGAATAGTAAAGATGACAGTATTTTACATAAAAAACAAAAAAAATTTACTATGAATTTGTCTATATGGTATTATTTGAATCAAGAAAACATCATAGCTTAAATTTAAAAGATAAGCAACTTTGCTTATATCTTTAGAGGTTAATTTGTTCATATAAAAGTAAGTTTAGTTAAGTTCCATTTATAATAAGATTGTAAATTTGCTAAGGAGGTGCTGTGCTCATATCAAGATTGTGTGTGTGTGTGTGTGTGTGTGTGCCTGCAGCCCTCTGATCAATGCGCACTTTTTCCCCCATTTTCATAAATACATCATGAAAAAAGGATGAGGTTTCCGCCTTAATTGCTTGTGCCTTTTATTCACATTCCTCTCTCAGCCAGAATTGTGAAAAGAGTGTTAGTAAAAGGCTGCACAATAGAGCTTTTCATTAGGCCTCAGCAAGGCACACAAAAGAAGGCTTTTGGAAAGAGTGAATGCATGAGTTTAATTTGCAGGTGGAGAGTAGATAAAAGGTGCTGACGCCTCTATTATTCTCTTACTTAGGTGACCCTTACCCTGTTCAGCTGATCCCAACTACCATGGCAGCTGCTGCGGCAGCAACACCAGGCTTAGGCCCACTCCAACTGCAGGTAAGTCAGGAAACAATACAGAGGAGACAAAGGTTAAGTAAATATCAAAAACAGCTATTACCGTGTTAAAGCAAAATAAAACTGACTAGTGATATTTGTCACACACTCTGTTGTTTTAAAATTTATTTGTACTGATCCTCAACCAAAAGTTGAGTTGTTGATTCTTTTAATTTTTAGCTCTGTTTTCTGTACTTGAGAGAGCTTATTGTAGTTTTTTTTATTGCCTGATATGATTTGAAAACGTGAGCTGTAGTTTTGCTGTGGTTAGTATGAGCCATAATTTTGTCACAGGATGGTCCCCATCAAGAGAAAAAGAACAACAACAACAAAAACAACAACAAAAAACCTGCAAAGGGTATTGAAACAGACACTTGTGGACCAAAGCTGCTTAACAAAAAATGCCTTTAAAATTGTTCAAGATACCTTGTATTATTGAAGCACTTTGTAAGTCCTTTTGTTCTCCTGCTAATGCCGGCTCAGTTGGTCAAGCAAGGAAAAATAGACCAAATACGTGGTGCCTAAATGAGCTCAACTTTATCTCAGACATCCCAATCGAGACCTTTTAAGCCCTGCAGAATACATACATATTCCCATATAGGAATGTCAGTGATAACTTTACCAGATGTCCAAGTGATATTAGAAATTTTGTCTCTGAGGTTGAAAAGAGAACCAAGAAAATTGTAGTAAAGGTCACTTTCATTAACTATTTAAATTTTTGAGTCAGCATTCCACAGAATGTTTCATAGTTTCTGTTGTTATGGACCTTCTAATTATGTAATTAATAGGAATAGAAGATCATCTAGTAATAGGAGTAATCTCCTCTTACGAGAGTTTTTATATGTTCTTTAGCCTGGAAGACACAGTATGCCTGTGAACCTAGATATAAAACAGTTGTGCTTAATAAAATTAAATTGTATTCATGAAAGCGCATTATCGCAATAGATGATCTTAGTCTGTAAGGAAAATATAGAATTATATTGTAGCGTCAAGAGGCAGATACATCTGGTCTGCACATGGGTTTGTCAGGAGACCTGGTGGGTTTCCGAAAGGCCAGTTGAGTTTCACAGGAGGAACTACCAGTGTGAAAGCTGAGACATACTGTGTTCTACAGAGGTTAATAACATTCATTTCTATTCTACCTTGTCTACGAAAAACTGCACTGTGAGTGTCTGTTTCTTTTGAGCTGGAAATACCTTGGGAAGTGTTAGAGCCATGGGGACAATAAAAGTAACATAACATTTGTTATCCTTTGAAATGACATCTGGGGAATAACTGTAACATGGAAAAATGACTGTAATAGTTAAATTAAAAAGTCTAATGGAATTAAAGGAAGAGAGGAGAATATCCAGCAATAGATTTGAATGTGGGAATAGGAGTTTTAGAGATTTAGGATGTCAGTTTTCAAAGCAAGTTAGACATTCTTGTTTCACCATTGGATGAGGAGTGAGAGGAAGTGAGGGCAGTTGGAGGCAACTGCTATGTTTTATTGCAGGACTTTAATAGAAAGCAGCTATTTAGTTAAGGAACAATCTAAACTTCTCTTTCTGTAGAGAGAGTATGAGAATATTTGATGCAAGTTAAGTTTTATTTCAATTCTTATGTCATCAGATTCTCTTAAGATTTCAAAATGTTAAAAAATAATTTTCTTTATCACTACACAAGAAAAACTTTAGACACCAAACATTTGCTCTTATTTTAACTGTAATTTGATCTGTACATGGGATAAAAAGTTCCCTTTATGTTAAGTGGTATTATACCCATTAAAATTCATGAGTTTTAGTTAGAGTCTTCTCAAATAATCCACACTGTAGTATAACAAGAAAATTAATAATCCAAAACTTTTTTCATGGAAAGTCATCACCTACTGTTAAAACACATTCACATGAACACACAAACACACATATTTTTTGCATTGGGAAAAAAACAAGCTATTCAGATGCAAACACATTCCAAAAGCATGCCATGGCGGAGAATCTGACTTTTCTTTGAAGTAGACTGATGCTCACTCTGGCTAGGATGCCTACACTACCTCACTTTTCTACTTGTTCCTAACACAATATTCACACACCCCTGATCTTCACGTTAACCTTCCCCAGAACTGCAAAGGATACTTGTTACTCTTCCTCCTCTGGCTTTAAATTAGCATCCAAATTCTTTCCTTCTCCACAAGTCTGATGGGATAGGTCAGAGAAAGCTAACTCTTAATGCAATGCCTAGTCAGAAGTCTTACCATAAATAAGCCTTACCCCAAATTCACCCCACTCTTATAAACCTCAAAGGGAAAACTTTGAGAAGTTTTATCCTAGTAAAATATAATACATAAGCCAGTTTTAATGTTCTCCACTCTGCTTTTCATTATACTCTGTTAAATCTCTATTTTCCATCTCATAATAATACCTTGAGTAGACTCCATTGCTTTCTGATCCTTTCAGTTACTAAGATTCAGTCCTGCTGGAAACTGTAATTTTATATCCAGTTTACATCTCACTTTTTACCCTTCTGTCATTAGACAAGAATCTTAGCTCTGGAGACCAGAAGTGAGGAAGGCTGCATATTACTCTTTTGCTTCTTCAACTTCCACTTAGTATCTTTGTAGATGCAGGTTGTGGAAGGTATGTCTGCTGCTGAGATACCTTGGAGATGGTGTGTGTATGGTTTTCTAGGTATTGAACAGCTTTTCATGGTCTGCTAAGAGAAGGGTGGCCAGGTCTGTTGATCTATGCTTCCGACTCTCTTTTTCATTTGTGACATCACGACTCTTGGCCAGCTACTGTCCGGGTAGCAAGATGCCTCCCTTCCTTCATCCTTAATGCCCCTCCACAGAGAACCCAGGGATCCTCTATGGAGGTTCTCTTCTATGCCCTCTAAGAGCTGTGATACATCACAGTCCTGGTCTCAACCTACAGCAAACCCCCAACCCCTCTCCACCAACCCACCCCAGCTATAGAAAACTCCAGAAGAGAAAACAGGTACTACTGTTTAGTAGTCTTTAGTCTTTAGTGCTGTATACCCCCAAGCTGTATACTGTCCAGTTCTCTTAAGAATATTCTCATCATACTGCTACTGAGTTAGGCTTTAGGTTTTTAATTCAACAACTAATTGATGAACAATATGAAGATTTCTCCTTTTTTTCTGGCTTCTTCTATTTTTATGAATTCTGCCTCCTCACTTAGGTAGGGAGAGAAAAGCACTAAGAACCAAGTTCTCCTATAAAGCTATAAACCCAGTGCTCTCTCTCCTAACCTTTCTCACCAGGCATCAGCTCATACATACTATGGGGTAGAGGGATTGGGTTGGGAGGATGAGAACAAGGTCAGACATAGCATGAGTGTTGATTGAAGTAAGGCCAAGTCAGCCAGGTTTTAATAAGGGAAGATGGTGGTATAGATGTTGTCTAGTACCAGGTACCAGTTGTGGGTATCTTTCTTTAGAACCATTGAGGAACTTGTTGTTGACTTGTTTGCTTATTTGTATTGTTTTCTATTGTTGTTTAGCGTGTTCTTGTTTAACTATGGAGTGATAAGCTCAGAGCTGCATTTCACAGGACAACAGTAAGAAAGATGGATTGAGGTAACAGCAGGAAGACCAGTTGGGGGAACAACTGAAGTAGCCTTGGCAAAGAAAAAGTGATGATCTGAATTAATCTTCATTCAGTGGTTGTGGGAATAGTGTGGAAGGGATATATATTTTATACAGAAATAGGATGCTGTTTCCTTTTCCTTGGGTTCAAACATAATAATTTTAACTCCTATGAAATGCCACAACAACTGATGTCACTAGCTACTATCAGCCATGGTTCATGAAATACTTTCTTAAGCTAGATTCTCTGGTAAGCATTTTACAAGGGTATCTCATTTACTTCTTTTTTTCTTTTCTGCAATATTGTGTGTCTTTATTTTTTCCAGCATATTATGGGGGTACAAATGTTAAGGTTAAGTATATTTCACTTCCCCCACTCTCCCCTCTAGTCAGAGCTTCAAGCGTGTCCATCCCCCATTTGGTGCGCATCACACTCATTATGTATGTATATATCCATCCCCTCCTCCCCCCTCCCATCTGCCAGATGCGAGATAAATGTTATTCTTAAATGTCCACTTAGGTGTTGATCGGTTAATACCAATTTGCTGGTGAGTACATGTGGTGCTTATTTTTCCATTCTTGTTATACTTCACTTAATAAAATGGGCTCCAGCTCTATCCAGGATAATACAAGAGGTGCTATATCACTGTTGTTTCGTATAGCTGAATAGTACTCCATGGTATACTATTACAAACACTTGGTGATATGTATAAATATCCCCATTGAGAAAAAAGAAAGCTGGGTCACAGAGTCCAAAATCCCTGATCTTTAAACAATTATATTTGCTTCTCCAAGTACAGGAGTATTTATTTTGAACTTTGGAGACATTGCACCTCTTAACATTTGCTAACTCAGTAACCAGCTAATCAAATTATAACAATAATGCTGATTAATTGGCACCAACACAAATACTCTGTGTGCTTTGCAATAATGAAAGGAATAGCAGGATTCATAATGACAGCTGTCTACTTCAGCCTCTGAATTTTCCATTTCATGCCTCTTTACACAGATATATATTTATTCAAGTACTTCTTTCTGAACACTTAGTTCTAATAAGGGACACTACAAATATATTCCCACTCACAGTTGACTTTGTTTTACCTACCATTTGTGTTTTCTTTTGAAATAACGTTTTACATATAATTGTTCACACTTGGATAATATTATGATAAGCAAAACCAGAACTTTCATTAAAGAATGAATAGAGACAAGTACAATTATTTTTAAAGACAAGCAAAATGACATGCTTTAAATAAAACCACTGTTTATTAAAAACTTAACTATTATTTTATGTCCCTGGAGATCCTTACTATATAATAAAAATTACTTCATATAGAAAAACCTTACTGTATATTTTTAGACACAGTTAAAATATTTTAAGCATTATCATGCATTTATTTATATTTTTATGGAGAAAAATT